AAAGCCATGACAAGGTTTCTTCTGTTAACATCCAACAAATCGGATATATAGCAAAATATGTGCGATAGATATGTCTATCAAAGAGGATATGCTTGAAAGATCTCTTATATGTCGAGAACGGCTGAACTGATTTTGACAGTTGTCATTAATTCAGAATGGCCTCTTGACAGGAAAGAAAAAACGTCTAAAAAATCGCATAAAAATATCTCGCTAAATATGAAAATATTGATTTTGTAAAATTTTCTCATATTTTTTTCAATTTTGTCATATTTTTGGCATATTTTCATTTTGAATTAAACATTTGGTAATATTTCTACAGCTAACAAAACTAAGTAGTTAGGATATCAGGATATCATATACAGATCGCATTTATGGCCCGATCCTTACGAAATTTTGCATGGGGATAAGATGAGGGTCAGAATAGAAGCCTACTCTTTTTGGAGATGATCGCCATATATTTAGTGGTTGAAATGGACCAAAAAACTGCAAAATTGTCAGCAGGTCGTAATTATCGCCCGACCCTCACGCAAAACTTTTATAGACAAAATACGAAAATGTCCATTCCAGTGACTTTTTGGAGAATTCACAAATACAGGAAAGTCGCACTTCTGACTATTTCGTTAACGCTGATTTCGTGGACGAATATAGTCAAATATCGGTATCTCATAGAGATGCGTTTCAGTCAAAACCCAATAATAAATGTTAATCTTTTGCCACTTCTGAGAGATTATAGGTCTTTTGGAAATATTGGTTCCAGATTTAGGAAGACAATTTACGTGCAACATCTACCAATAAATTGGAAATGAGCAAACGAGTTTAAGTTGCTATTATTCGAAAATTAGAGAACGGAACCTGATGGTTTTCTTTTATTATTTGTCCCAAAATCTAGTGGAATTCTTTCGAGTATCTCGCCTATATAAACTGTATCATTTATTATAGTGTTGTAGGGTATTCAACGGTCGGCCCCGCTCGACTGTAGCCTTTGTTTATTTATTTATTTTTTTTTTTTTTGAAAAATGAAAAATCTTCAAGCAACTTCAAACTGCTGTCCCTTTTAAGCCACTCGTCCGACAGCTGTTAAAATTATTAGATTAACAGCTCGTTGTATTGTTTACAAGGGTACAAAAGCATTTGTTGAGAATTTTTCATGAAAAAACTCAACAGAAATGCTTCGAAAAGTAAAGAAGAGACTTGATCCAAACCCTCATCGCAATGTCCGAAAATGGCTCATGAGCTGAACATATTGCAAAATTCCATTCGGCAAATATTGAAAAATGAGTTCGGGGTACAGCCATTAAAAGTCCAAAATGTGCAAGAACTTTCACTGTAACACAGAGAAAATAGACTCAAAAGAGCTTAAGCGTTGCTTCGCTTGGCCCAATGTGGTGAACTGCCTAATTTTGTATTCTCCGTCTCCGATGAGAAAACATTCGTTGTCCAGCAGTTTGTAAACAAACAAAATTATCGTGTTTACTTGCCAATGGGGTCAGCTGAAAATGTGTACCTTCGGGAGGCCACCAAAACTCATGGTGATTGTGTGCAACGCCATAACAGCCGATGGTCGCTCTCCGCTCGTTTTAGTCGACCGTTGCATAAGAATAAATGCCAAATATTATTGCGAAAAAAAAATATGGAGGTGGTATTAACGCCTTGGGCAAGCAAACATTTTGGCCGCAAACCTTACATCCGGACTCAGTGTCATCGCACTCAGCACGCGCCACCCAAGAAAATGAGGTTCCTCGCTTCATTTCCAGCTCACAATGGCGACCAAAATCTCCGGATACCAATCGCTGGACTATTGTCTCTGGAGTATTTTGGAAAGCAATGTTGACACTAAAAAATACCAAAGTGTCGATCATCCCAAGCAAGCGCTTCATCGGGAATGGCCCAAAATACCGCAGAGCAACATTCGAGCAGCGTCGTTTGAAGGGTTTCATTGGCCGTTTGAAGCCCATAATTCGTGTCAAAGGTGACCAATTCTAACAAATCTAAACTAATTCTATAATTTGATTCTATTTCCGACATTTTTTGCTTTCATTCAATAAAATTAACAAGTAAGCAAAGGCTATAGTCGTGCGGGGCCGACCATGTGATACCCTACAACACTACAACATGTTAGAAGCCCTCTTAGGTCCTAATCCATTTTGGAAGATTTCGCTTTTGAAACTATGTCACGGAGCACTGCGCAGATATTACCCTTAGCATATTGAACAGGGACATTTGCCTAATATTTACGAACTATGTGGTGTTGCTAGTTGTGCAAAAAAGCTAGAATTCTTCCCTGTCCTTATCGCTCTTCCCAGGCATGTCAAATGGCTTCAATTTTGTATCAGGATTTTTTTCTGTTTTTGGTTCATTTGAACCATCTCCAAAAGCAAGAGGCCCCTCTGAATCTCGAAATTTAGACTCATCTGATTGATTTTCTTGTCTACGATATTTGGCTATCGTCGGATATCGCCTGCTGGTATTTTTTACACAAAGTAGTGGTCCATTCTACCCAGAGTCCTGAACTCTAACTTCATGCGAGATTTTGTATCCTTTGGTTTCTATTTGTATTATAACGACTTCAAAATCAGGAACATTTTTTGTTGGTCAATTTCAACCCCTAAATATATTGCGGACATCTTTGAAAACAATAGGCCTAGCCATTCTGAGCCTAACCCTAATCATACAATAATCAACTCAGCTCGGCGAGATAGGAAGATCCATATAGACTTTCCTATGTGGGAAACCAATATTTCGAGGTGTTACATAATTTTTGGCCCAATCAAACTTATAATATCCCCAACACATAGTGTTGTAGGGTATAAAAAAAATGTAAAAATTATGGCGTTTGACTTTGTTGCATTTTTTTATCTCACCCTGTATGTAGTTCTGAATAAATCACCCATTACAAGTCCCAGTGTAGGGTATAATTAAGTCATTACCGCCTACCCAGACGTCGCAGTTTATTAAAGTATGTCAATGTCCCGAAATATATTTACGAGGACCTCTAACAATATCTCATTGTTGTGGTGAACATGGCTAATTTGAAGAATGGTGGACAATGCGTCAAATAAATAATCTACTGCTTTTTTTTTTGGCTCATTCACATACAAACATTTGTATGTGCGTGTTCTTCACACAATGTTGTGTGTGACATAAATCACATATAGGCCATGCTAGGAGAAAAAAAAAAAAAAAACAACGAAACAAAACCAAACCAAGAACCTCTGTTATCAATTAATGATGATGATGATGAGAACGAGTTTTTGAAACACAACATATGGCCACATATAACTCCAATCTACCATAAAAAGAGAGGAAGAGAGTGAGTGATAGCATTTTCTCTATTAAACTCATAACTCTGTGAGTGTGAGTAAAATTTGTGGAATTAACTCAAACTGAGTGGAGTGAAATTTTTGAGGGAGTGAAAATTGTTTTTAAAAGAGAATTTTAGAGTCGACTCGTTGCTGTTGAATTTTGAAGAAATAAAGAGTAATGATGGAGCATGTGAATGAGAGTTGTCCTAGGTTAATGGAGAAAAACTTTTCACCTGAAGTATGAATTGATTTGAGGGAGCTTGCTAGGGCTTTTGGAAAACGTATTTTTTGGTTTAAGGCTTTTTCAAGTGCGCAAGGTCAGTGTGAGTTGCCAGCATCAATGTGCGATGTCTGCAGCGAGCATCATGCCTGATGCTTGGAAGGATGAAGAGCAGGATGATTTACCATGCGTAAAGCTGGCTTTGGAGCACCTCATGAGAACGCATTTACTAATGGCATTTCGTTATACTCTCTCTCTCTCTGCCAGGGCAATCTTATCACCATAAAGCTCATATGGTGAAAGATTACTTTTGTGCCATAGCTTTTGTCTTGGGTTCTTCGTGTGTGTGCGCGTATGTGTGTTGTGTAGAGCATCACACTGTGCGATTGGAGAGCTCTCTGGGCTTCGTAACAGCATCACATCACAACAGTATCAAACATTAGCACGTTAACCCTCATGGTCGGTTGGTTTGTTAAGTTTGACAGTTGCTAGTAGCTTTGGCGGCTACCCATCCATAGGTTAGCTTAGTGTGTATGGCTATGTGTGTGTGTGTGTTGGTGCCTTGGTGTGCGTCCGTGTGTTTTGTAATTGAGTGTAAACATGACGCAGAATGAATTCAGTTGTTAAGTTGGTGCAGTATCAGTTGGACTGGTTAAGTGAATACGAACGGTCGAAATCCTAAAAAATATCCAATATTCCGATTTCTCATCAAACTCATCAGGAGATTGAGTCTGGGTCTACGGTAACGTTGTTGTTGTTGCTCCTGCTGTTTTGTGTGTGTTTCGATTGTGAATGTGTTTGTGGCCAGCACATATGCGTGTTTCGGTGTGTTAAAGCTACTCCTTTTCTATGGGCCTGAGTGAATGAATTCTCTGGTCAAACGAGGCTAACCAGGAATAATTAAATAAAAATCGTGAAAAAACCAGGAAAATCCTAAACACAAAAAATAAACAAAAAATCGAATAAAATTTACCAAAGCAAAAGTAAACAAGAAAATTGTGGTTCAATAAAAAGTTATTTATTTGGCCCTTTAAAACACACAAAAAAAAAAACAGCCACCAAAAACCTGTGCCGTGAAATAAAAGAAAACAAATATAAACAAACCAATTCAGGAGAGAAAAAAAATTCCATCCATTTATTTTGTTTGGACATTTTGTCGATAATTCAACACTTAAATCGAATTGTCCCTCAAGGAGTATTTTGTTTTAGTTTCCCGCAATTCATTTACAGTTGTCTTTCGGGGATAAGGCACAGCACAGCCAGCAGACATAGCCAGCCAACATAGATACCGACGGTCTTGACACACACTCACTTTCTGTGTGGTGCGTAAGCCTGTAAGGGTGCATTATCCTGTGAAACAAACGAAGGAAGAAAGCAGACAAGGAAAATAATTTCTAACGTAGCTGTTACTGGGTAAAAGCGGAAAAAATACCTTATTGCCATTTTAAGAATCAAGCGACCTCAATATCCAAACCAAATACCACCAGCATCAGCATCTGTAGCAGTAGCCGTAAAAGTTGTAGAAAGTTCCTTCTCCTCCTGCTCCTCCAGTATATCGCCAGTAATATTATCATCAGCTTCAGCTTCAATATCAGTATCAGCATCATTATCATCATCAGCTTCATACGACTCATTGCATTGCATCGTATTACTTTATTTGAAAGCTTCCCCCAGCTCGCTCCCCCTTTGGCGTCATCATTACAAAACTACACGTACACGTGTGAGTCCGTGTGTGTGCGTGCCTGCCTGCTTGCGTGAGTGAGTGATACGATTTATTTCTCCAATGTGTGCATGTGTGTGCGTCTGTGCATCCTGTGATTAGTTTCGAAGCACTTGGCATACCTCGCTTGTAATTGTAATCATTACTTGAGTGTGGATCCCCCACATACACACACAGCCCCCCACATTGACATCCTCACTCACTACGCCACCCACAAAGAAAAGGAAGAGTAAAACGTTAAAGTAGTAAGAAAAAAAAAAAAAACAAACAAAAAAAAAAGGAAGCAAGCAAGGAAGAAGGAAGAAGAAAAAGTTTCTAAAAAGGATATCATAAGAAAACAGCTAAAATACAATCGAGCCATTTGCAAACGTTCGGCAGCAAAATGCCCGATACCATTTCAGTCATAGATACCCGAAGAAGTAAGTTCTGTTTTTTTTGTAGAGCCATATGTATATGGACCCCCCTAACACATACACACACAGCCAGCCACATGAGCACAACAAACACACAACTCTTGCACCAATACAGTGTTATGCTGTATGCTTTTCTTCTGTTTTGTTGATTTTTTCTTCTTCTTTGCCTTAATTTAATATAAATTTTTAATTGAAAAAGGAAACAGGATACGGCCACGGAAGTGGCGTCGGTTGGTATTTGTCTGTGTCTGTGCATGCAAGTTGATTATAAAATTTGGGTCATATTTTCCTAAAGATAATTATCGGCCATATTATGGCTATGTTCTCATCTGATAAACATGTTTTGTTTTCTGTCGGTTGAGGTGGTAGCGAAAAGTAAAGGATTGCGGTCTTTTTTTTGCGTTCAGCCGCTGGAGAACAAAGGATGAGATGGGAAAAGATATTGTGTTGTTATTATTAAATATGACATTTTTATTAAGTTGGCAACTGAAAATGTACAAAATGTATTGTGGCAATATTTTACACTGTGCAACAAAAAAGTGTGTGTGGTAATATGGGTTTCATCAAAATGATGACAGGTTTCTTGGATAGGGTTTATGATTTGGCCGATCTGAACATCATTGATCTAGTTTTAGAATGATCTTTACCGATCTAGTTCTTGTATAACCCCCGTCGAATCCGGCGTACATTTTTAACTCAGCAAGTAAACACGGTATTCGTCCTGAGGTGGTGTTAAATTCGGCCATATTCGAAGGTTTCTTTGTATAGGGACTATTTCCGAAGTTATTTCACATTAAGCAATATATTATATATAATTTGTAATGGGGAAAAATATGCAAAATATTAGATTGGAAATATAGAATATGATAAAAAAAACGTGTGAAACCTTTAAAATACTTCAAATTGAGAATTAATTTTTATGAAACTATGGGGGTGTTTAACCTATAATAATAATTTTTTTGAAGAGAAGTATAAAACCAGTAAAGAAAGTCTTAAAGTCGGGCGGGGCCCACTTTATGATACCCTACACCACTTTGCTAATTTAGTAGAGCTGCACATAACAATCAAAAGCTTTTATGGGAGAATTCAATCATACACGCTATGATTATAATTATAATTTAAAGTTCAAAGGACTAAATATTCCGAAGCATTTGTATCTTTTAAATTCGGACTTGTATTGCCCATTTGGTGAACAAATAATTTGAAATCGGATAAAAATATATATGGGAGCTATATCCAAATCGGAACCGATCTCGATAAAATTTGGCAAAGATATTTCTGAGCTGTATTTGATATATTTCCCTGAATATCGTTGTTACGGAGTGCATATTACGGCTGTGGGTAACAAATATGACAAATCGGTTGAACAGTATATATTGGAGCTATAGCTATATCTGAACCGATCTTCACCAAATTTTACATACTAGCTTCTAGACTCAATTCGGTCGTAAGTGCCAAATTCCATCCCATTTGCGCTAATATTAGACGTTTGGTGCACAATCAAAGGTAAATCGGACGAAGTTATATATGGGAGCTATATCCAAATCTGAACCGATCTCGATAAAATTTAGCAAATGTATTTCTGAGCTGTATTTCATATGTTTCCTTAAATATTGTTGTTGCAAAGTGCATATTACGGCTGCGGAGGACAAAAATAACAAATCGGATGAACAATATATATGGGAGATATAGCTATATCTGAACCGATTTCGATCAAATTTGGCAAATGTTATTTTCAGGCCCAATCTGATCGCACGTGCAAAATTCCATACTATTCGGACTGATATTACAGGTTTGGTGCACAATAAAAGTCAAATCGGACGAAGATATATATGGGAGCTATATCTAAATTTCTGCCGATTATCTCCAATTTCAATAGGGTTCGTTCTTGGGCTAAACAAATGATTTGTGCAAAATTTCATCTGGATAGGGCAATAAATGGGAACTGTACTTTGTTTACAAAAATACATGGACAGACGGACGGACGGACATGCATAAATCGACTCAGAATGTGATTCTATGCAGATCATCAAAAGGAACTATGGGTCTATCTCGTTTCCTTTTGCCTGTTACAAACAAATGCACAAAGACATAATACCCTTACCACTATGTGGTGTAGGGTATAAATAGTCTGTAATTGCTGAGAGGAGTAGCTTTATATAGTGGAGCTCTCATTATTATCAAAACTTCTTCTTACATATCCCACACAAGGGTTCAAAGCTCGGGAATGTGCAAAGGAGAAATTTTAATATTGGTGTAAATAATTGTAAACAAAACAAGTAAACAAAGGCTAAAGTCGTGCGGGACCGACCATGTGATACCATACATTTTGATTGTTTTCGTTTTTGAAATAATGCCATACAGTCCTGCCCAAACGTTACTTTTGTCCTTTGACCTGAGCATTTGTCCAATATTTATCCCTCAAAAAAAAAAAAAAAAAAAAAAATCACAAAAAAGTTGTAGTCAATTTTACCTGTAAAATATATTACAATGGTCAATAGTCATAGTCGCGACCTGAATATAATACCCTCAGCACATAGTGTTGTAGGGTGTAAAAAAAATACTCTATATGCAAACCAAAAATTGTAAGTCAATTATGAAAAAATCGCATGCGATAAATACATATTTTGACAAGAAATATTCACTTTTTATTGGCATATTTTTGAGCGATTTTCATAGGTTTTATCCTTTTCTGGTAAGATGACATTTCGAATAGGTGAGAATTGTCAAAATCAGTCTGGCGGTTCTTAACTTACATGCGGAATAACTAACATCAATTTCTTGTACATATAGATTGAACTATTTCGCTATGTACCAGATACATTGGCTATGATTATCACTGTTACCATCAGAAGCGACAATTTAATGTATTTATGATTTCGCTAAAATTAAAAATATTCGAGGTTTAGTGGAAATTTTCGTATCTTACATAAACGTTATGGTCTATTTTATCCGCTAAATATTGTCCGATGACCAAACAAAATGTTAGGCTTTAGCCCCGCCCTAAACTCTAGCCCCATGCAATAATGCAATAATCTGCGTCAATTATTCTATGATTGTGACCTGTAGAGAAGCTGCAAAATCAGGATTTTTTTCTGTTTTCATCTCCAAAAAGCCATAGGGATCTATTTTGACAGACATATTCATCCGATTTGGAGTCTTAAGTCCCTCAAATGCGTAATATGCACTCCACAATGGTTATATTTGATACGATATTATTGATTATAGAGCTCAAAAATACTTCTGTCAAATCTTATAGATATCTGATCGGATTTAGATATATCAGGTTTATTGTGCATCAAATGCAACAGAGTCAAACGAAATAATTTTAAAATTTGTTTTTTTTTTTTAAATTTTATTGAATAAAAGCAAAATATGTCGGAGATAGCATCAAATTTCAGAATAAGTTTAGATTTGTTCGAATTGGTCACCTTTGGCACGAATTATGGCCTTCAAACGGCCAATGACACGGTCACACGCTGCCCGAATGTTACTCTGCGGTATTTTGGCTCATTCCCGGCGAAGCGCTTGCTAGAGGTGATCGACACTTTGGTATTTTTTAGTGCCAACCTTGCTTTCCAAAACACTCCAGACACAAGGGATTGGTACAACGGATTGGTATCCGGAGATTTTGGTAGCCATTATGCGCTGGAAATAAAGCGAGAAACTTCATTTTGTAACCATTCTTGGGTGGTATAGATTTGTTCGAATTGATCACATTAGGCGTGCTGAGTGCGATGGTGCTGAGTCCTGTTTGAATGTCCAAGGTCTGCGGCCAAAATGTTTGCGTGCCCAAGGCTTTAATACACCCTCCAGAATATTTTCGCGACAATATTCGGTATTTATTCTGATGCTATGGTCGATTATTACGAGCGGCTGTTATGGGGCGGCCCACACCATCACCATGGCCGCCGCTTGAGTTCTGGTGGCCAACCGAAGGTGCAAATTTTCACCTGACCCCTTTGGCAAGTAAACACGATTATTTTGTGGTGGCTGATGTTGGTTGCAGGTTTTCATCACACCCTGTAGATTACTTTTTCGCCCTATAAATGTCAATGTAGGTCCACGTTTTGGAGTAGGGCCCATATAAAGGATACTCCCGATTTCATTAAATCGAAGATCTCGACAAATATCCCCGATTTTGCTAATGATTTTCTTGAGTCTACAATACTTTTCGACATTTTCAATCATTTTCAATCAAATCAATATTCCAATCGCTATGACATAGCGATGTACAATATACAAAATATACAAATATATAAGTACAATATGCAGGGATATTTATGTATATACTTGAGTTATACATCGTCAAAAAACCTCATGTTTTTTTAATTGATCGACTTTTGCATTGAAAAGTCTTAAAATTAAAGTATTCGCCTTTGGCTTGCTTTTGTTTTGAATACAGCCTAAACATTTTAGCTCTAAGTTAATAATACCCACCAATCAAAGTATATGTTAATAAGAACAAGTAAAAAAACGGCTAAGTTTGGCCGGAACGAACTTTTAGTACACTCCACCAAAATTTCAAATAAAGTCCAAAATATACCGATTAAATGAAATCGGGGCTATACGAAAACGGGAGCGTGCATGTGTATTTGTTTTTTTTTTCAAAGGCTGTGGTACCCATTAAAATCTCTACATATGAAATTTGAAACAAAACCGTTATATGTGGACTATATGAAGACATGGACCTGCATTGATAGTTTTCTGTCGTAAGTTGTAGTACCCATTATGAACTCCAAATACGAAATTTGAAATAATTCCGGGGAATCATGTCGCGAATATCATTAAAATACCGTATATCGGGAAGTACTTATACGAAGACGTGCACCTGTATATGTAATTTTCTGTTATAGGCTATAGTATCTTTTACGAAATTTAAATACGAACATTAAAAAAATTCCGGTACGTACCGTTATATTGGGCCATATTCACACGTAGACCGGCATGACCCATTTACGAACCTAACCTGATTTCTAGAAGAATACATTCGTGTGAAAAATTCT